TGGGACGGACTGCTACAAGAGATCCTTCTTGCCCACAGCCATCATCATCTAGAACAACTAATGAAACCAGGATGATGAGCTACAACAACAATTGATTTCCCTTTGGGATTAATAAAGTATTTTTGAATTTAAATTTGAGTTTTTGTTTTGTATTTGTACAATCTCTGAGTAGATGTCACATTAGCGTTCGGAGCATTTGGGGGCTAACATTTATAATGTCAAAGTGTGTAAAGTCACAGCTGTATCTCTTTCGGCTTGTGTAAACAACTTGCAGTGTGAATGGACATAGTAGGTAAAGGAAAAAGTTTGGATCTCTTTAAATGCAATTCACATTTAAATTGATCTTTAATGGTAAATGGATCAGTGGGTTTAGAGAATATTTTTTAACATAAAAAATGTCCATCATGTCATAAGATGTCATTTTCTATTGATTTTGTCCAACTAATATGAGCATCACCTCCTTTTTATAGGATGACTTCACTGTTAATTATTTCAAAAACAGGCAACAAATTGTTAAAATAATAATTTGTTTTTATTTACAATGTCAACACTGTAGCTTTATGATCAGATTTTTATTGGTTTAGAGGTCATGTAAACCGTCATATAGGAATATATAAATGTATCAGTTATTAATGCAGTTCAGAAAACCTTTCACTACCTGAAGAAACTTGTCTCGGTTCAAATTTTTAGGTTGTGTTAGTAAAAAAAACGCACAAAAATAGGAATGAACAAAATGTAATCGATGCTTTTATGCATCATTAGTCATTGTTGGTGAGCAGTTTATCGTATTAACAATCCATTATTATTATCTGCTGGTCTTGTGCTGTGCTGTCTCCTCGTTTTTCATGTTTATCGTAATTAATTTTGATTTCTCTGCTGTTTCTATTACCTCCGTGTTTGTTTTCACTCGAAGCTGTTTTTCCATGGGGGGGGGGGGAGTCAACACATTATCTTTCACAAATAGATCCATAGATTGATTTTAGATGCTTTTTGTGTTTGGTTGTAGCGCAGCTGTTCACAAGCTGAGGTCCAACGTCAGAATTGTATTTTCGTTTATCTCTTTAAAATTATGACCACACTGTGGTAACACAATTCTGGCTCCTGGTGACGTTCTTTATGATTTGATGGATTTATAACCAGCTCTGAGTCAGAAGAACCTCTGTTGTCAGTCCTAAAGGTTTTATGCACTTTTACAGTGTAGTTGCTGTTTTGTGTGAGATACTTTATGGAGGCTACAAAGAGATTTGCTTTTGTGCAGCAAATGTTGTCAAAATTTTAGCCAACTCTGTCTGCATCTGTAATTTATTGCAGCCGGAGAAAGCCCTAAAAGTCTAGTAGAAAGCTGGACAATACTGTCGAAGCACAGATTGGTGAATCTTCAGATTATCCTCAGATTTTCACATTAAAGTGACACTGAACAGCCTTTAATTTGTTTTCCTTCATCACTGTGATTCTTTAATCGCCAAGGATGAAATTACAGGATCCACATTGTTAATTTGTGCTTTTGGAAGAAATGTTTACCAAAACTTGACACAACCTGTTGTTGTTCCGGTTTTTAACTGTGGTCAGATGTTTTTAATTGTTAACTCCAAATTTACTCACCAACAAATAACTGTCAGTTTAATGTTTAGATGACAGGACTGCCATTTGTCCAGTTTGTGAAAACTCAGACCACTGAAACCATTTGTGTGTTTGGTTCACATAAAAAAGTGTGTTTAACCCCAGCTTAAATATACACAAGTGTTTGTAAATTTGAGTGAATAACATATAGATAGCCAATTAGATGTCTTCAAATTAATAAGGAAATCTTGTAATGGAAAGAGCTCTTTTTTTTTCTTTTGAAAACCACCCAATATTTGCTTCACAAGTCTTTAAACCACTGAAAGGTAATTATTTAAATACTTACATTAATTATTTATCTTCAATTTGTGTAATTTATTGAGTGTTTAATTTAGTTATTGTATGTAATTATTGAATTGAGTATGTCATTTTGTTGTGCTTCGGTGCAATGACAATAAAGCTGATTCTGATTTCACTCAATTGCGATTAAAACCACAAACGTGGTCAAATCAAGTTCACATATAAAGTTCATTTTATGCACAATAACAGTTTAAAGCACTGAGGAACAAAAGCATAAAAACATTTTAAGAGACGAGCAATGATGAAACAAGGCAGCAAATGGTTTTTAGAAACGGTAATTGCATTTTGTTTTAAATTACTTAACGTATGATAGAGAAGATAAAATAGGTAAATCATACAAATCATTGTATTGAGATTGTATGTACATTACAAATTTAAATATGTATGTTTGTAGAAATGTATATAAAACAAGAGTAGGATTACTCTTATATAGGCATATTTAACTACTTTTGTTTTTGGAGAAGTAAAAGTGTTCTGAGTAATTTTGTTTTTCATTCATTTCTGTAATTTATACAGGCACTGTAAAGTTTTGGAAGATGTATATTGGCCATAGTATCACACCCTAATTATTCTGTTACAAATGAAAAAGAACCATCATGACTTGTTACTCACTCGTACTTCTAGAGTTTTTCATATGCCAGGATATGAGTCATTGAAAGCAGCACCGTCTCAGGGTTTATCTCTTGCGCAGTTGCAAGTGTAACGCACACAGTTGTAATTTGACAATGAGGCCAAAGATGACAGAAATAAGCAGCTCCTGACGATGTGCGCTCTTGCTCTACATGTACTTCTCCGTTACTACTACTCATCTGACCTGACGTGGAAACTGTCTGCAGTGGATCGCTGACTGTCTCTGACTCTTCTAGTAAGAGTTTACAGTTTGCATCCACTCAGTGTGGACTAATCCAGTTAGTTGTCTTTCTCCCAATACCTGAGGTAAATGTCTTATTTTTCTAAAGTAATTTTCCACAAACCCTCAAAAGATTAAAGCTCACACTCGGACACATGCACAAAAGGTTCCATGTGTCAAAAATCTGAAACAGGAAAACGAGGATTGTTTTTCCCCTTGTTTTCGGTCGGTATCGTTTGATCACCTGGGAGATGTGGTCACAGGGTGTTGTAGTTTCCGTCTTTGTTGACTTGATGCTCAAACACACACTCCTTGTGTGTTGGCGTTCCATCTTTATTTTCCTGAACTTGAGCTGAAGCTCTTTAGAATGCTTCAGGATAGTTTCCATAATGCCATGGTCTGCTCTCTTTATGTGACGTCGCGTCGTATTTCAGTTTACACCAAAGTGTACTTTTGTCAGTTTCATCCATGTCCATTGCAAAGTTGCTTTTCATGGAAAAACCTTTGATTGTTGCTCAGATATCACAAACATGTTTATTATCCACCCGCTTCTTCCATTTGGGGTCACGGGGGTCGCCGGTGCCCATGTCAAACAATCACTGTGCGAGGGCGGGGTACACCCTGGACAGGTTGTTTATTATCTGAATTGTATTTTTCTTAATTTTGAATAGGTTTAAGAAAGTTTGACCTCGTATATTTATGTATTTTTGAATTTACCATTCTAATTAATAATTTAGAAGTCACATATATTATCTTTATGGGTGGCCAAATGTACCAAAATAAAATGATTACACATTAAAATATGTCATCAAATCAAACTGAAGTAAAAACAATATTGAATAAATCAGGAAAAATGTCACAATTTAATTTTTTTATGGACTGTGTGTGTTTTGTCTGTTAGCAGAATATATTATGAAACATTAATAATCATTGGATGTATTTCTACAACTAATTAACTTTTGAATTTTACCTACCATAAGATGGCTGCCACATCTCATCAACCTTAGCAAAACACAAAAATGACTTGGCTCAATCGATTTTACACATATTGAGCAAACATTTGATGTGGTGGTAGCTGAGAGTCTTTCCCATCACATACTTTGAACATTACCACATTGTCCTAGATCTTTGTGTGAAACTTTGGCATTCAAGATGACAAAACTCCTAATTATGCAAAAAGTGCTAAGCTTTAAGTATTGTATTTATTTCTTAAGCAAACATCGTCTCACTAGGCCTGTCACAGTAACAAATTTTCCTGGGCGATTGTCTCAGAAATTATTGCGATAAACGATATTGTTTGAAATTTGACAATAATGAATAATTATTGTCAAATTTAAGAAGAAATTTTGGTTAATTTGTTTTGTGTGTAGTACCTTTTTTTTTTTTTGACCACCGGATGGCAGTGTAAGACTGCTTGAACCGAAGGATGGATAGTGAGGGAGCGAGCAGCGTGTCTCTAAGAAAAATGGGAAGGAGGCCTCTTGATGTGACATGGGCTGTCTCTCTTTGGTTCTCAAAATGGCAGACGCTCTGTGTGGTTTGAGCTCTTTAGCATAGCATTTTTCACACAAAGCTTTAAAAAAAAATAAGTAAACAAGTTTTCAGCTTCTTTTTGCAGAGAAAAACAACTTTTTACACGAAGGCACAGGTTTCAACTGTGAATTTTGGATCTCGACAAGATGGAGGGGTTTTTGTTTCCCCCCCCGAGGTCGGCCTGTTAGCTTAGCTCGTAGCTTAGCTTCTCAACTTAGCTGCTTTTAACGATCCAAAAACCTAATTTTGGACTGTTAAAACAGATTTTAAAGAGAAAAGAGAAAGGGAGGGGTCAGTGAAGTGCACCGGAGTTGAGCTTTTTGTCTTCCAGTGTCTTCAGTAGAAAGAGACAAAGAAACGATAAAGCCGATAAATGAAAATGAGGTTGATAATTTACATTTATCATGCGATTAATTTATTTATTGTTTATCATGACAGGTCTACGTCTCACATAAATAATCAGACCAAATTAGTTGTTTTCTGTGGCTATTTTAATTTTCTACACAATAGAATAAAAAAAAAAAAAAAACTTTAATTATGGAGTCATTTCTTGTGCACTTCAGGTGTAGGATGTAAATATCGTGTGGTTTTATATATATATATATATTTATATATATATATATATATATATACGTACCGTGGTTAGCGTCATTTTATAAATTTGACCTCAAATCTTAATCTTTCTTCCTCCCTGCAGGCTTGACGATGGGTTGTGTCAGGAGTAAAGAGGACAAGGGTCCGGCCTTGAAGTACCGACCCGACAACTCCAATGCCACACAGGTCAACGCTCACCTGGGCCACTATGGGCCTGAACCCACCATGATGGGTCATTCACCTTCTGCGAAGGCACAGAACAACAGCCACACCTCTGCTCTCACACCTTTTGGTGGAACGTCTTCAGTCATAGCGCCATTTGGAGGAGCCTCCACTTCCTTCACCTCTGTGGCTGTGAACACCCCCTTCCCCAATGTGATCTCAGGTCAGTTTGTAGATTTTAACGTTCTGTATTAAATCAAACAAACTACATTGATTGCTTGATTATTATTATTATTTTTTTTAAATTATGAGGTTCCAAAATATTATTAACATTGAATTTAAAAGCTTCATTGTTTTTTTTTAATTATTATTAAACTTCCCAAATCAATTTAACTCATCGTAATCATTTAATTTACAAACGCCAAAGAGAAGTAGAAACAGTCTCAGCTGTGTTCAAACTTTCCATTTTGTTGTCATTATGTTTAAAACGACTTCAGCATACGCTCTGCTGAACATTTATTATTCACGAGATGTTACAAACAGCAGATGTCATGCAAATTAGACATTTAAAAGGACTTAGCCAAAATGTCAAAACTACCCAGAAACCCAAAATAGGCCTAAAGTATGGGAAGCAATGCAGCTGGCGTGGCCTCTCGTGAGCCAAATAAAACAACTACATGCACAGAATTCATTGGTAGTCTGCAGCATTAAGTTCTTATTACCAGCAGCGGTTTGACTTTAGTTGGGAATGTGCCTGAATTAAATTGACCCTTGGTGACATGTGGATCATTATTGATTTCAAGGGGTTAATTATTCAGTAAACGTCTTTAACGAGTGATCCATGCACACATACATCCATGTTTTTCTTTCCTTGTTTAAGTCTTGACATGGAGATATGGCTTTCCTGATCCTATTATTTTTATTTGCCGTTGCACCTGGATGCTTACCATTAACAACTAAACCAATCAAACAAGCATTTAAGGTTGTAGGGTCCAACAGCTTGGTCCCCTCCAAGCTGTTGGACCTCATAAGTGTAGTCATCTTCCACTGAGACCCCTTAGTCCATTTGTTGTGCTTCAGGAGGGTAAAGTGGCCCGAAGGGCTGCTGCAGATCCAATTCTGCTTAATTAGTTTTCCTCCATACCATAAATATATGAAGAGTCCTGTCGTCTCTTGGCATATTGTCAGCTGTCAGTTCTTTTCATTAAATTGAAAAATGATTAAATGACATCGATTTGATTCTCTGATCTAAATTGTCATGATAACCGCAGGATTTGAGAACTGCAGAGAGAATAATCTGCTTCCCTGATGGGTTTTTAAAAATAATAAATCACAGCTGAGCGGCCTGCTTGTATTTTTAGCCTGAACTGAGGCCCAGGAAAAGGGTTATTGTAAAAGAAAGCTGATATTTTGTTGTTTTGTTTGTTTATACCTTCCTGATGCCCAGTTCTTTGTTGTTTTTAGGTGGAGTGACATTTTTTGTCGCTCTGTACGACTACGAAGCGAGGACGTCTGACGATCTGTCGTTCAAAAAAGGGGATCGCTTTCAGATTATTAATAACACGTAAGTGCATGCGCATTTACACCAATAAAGACCTGCTGTATTAGTGTGTGTATGCATGTGTGTGTGCACACGCGCATGTGCGTTTAATCCCTGGTTGGATTCAGGTCTGACATTAAGGCTGGGATCTGGCTGGGTTAATGGCTTCCTTTAATGGGCCATCTGTTAAGATGCCACCATTTCTCACTTGGCACAGATTTTTCCTGTTCAGGGAGTCAAATTTGGGTTACACTGTTAAACATACTAATACTTAAAATCTAAATGGTACATGTAATTATACATTTAGATCACATTCTTGGAGAACATTCCCCTTTTCTCAGTTTAGTACTGTTAAAAACACATGTTTCAGTTTTTAATCATTTTAAGTCAAACCAAATAGATAAATCTGATTCATAGAAAGAAATACATCCATAATGTTACCTCCCTGTCATTGGAAAAGATTAATTATATGGGCTCCACACACATTTTATCTATGGTTTAATATCTGATGATGCTGCACTGTTTCCCCCCACGCGTACACATCTGAGACAACTGGCAGAGCTCCAAGTGTCGAACAAATCCTGCTCTCCTCATTCATCACATGCCGCATCCCATCCCGCCGCTGTCTACCCTAGCATGGCTTTTATAGTGATGAAAATGCCATCTGCTTTCAGGGGAGAGGTGGGAGAAAGACAGATTAGATAAAGTTTGTTAAAATGCCACCAGACACATTTTCTCTGCATCTCAGTTCCTCCTCTCCGAATATAAACTCGAACATCTGCTATTCAACACTTCCACTTAGAGGCTGGAGATGCAGCTTCATATTTTATCACAATATTATGAGTAAATTAAAGATATTTATAATAAACGTTGCAAATAAAATCTCTGATTGCAGTTTGGGGGTTTTGGGGGGGGGGGGGGGCAGCATTTAATAGGACAAACAAATCAAGAGCATTTTCCATCTTGTATTTACTATAAACTGCTTATGACGGTGAGTATTTTGCTATAAATGTCCTGCAACATTAAGCTTTATAATAGTAGGAACATAGCCAAGTTAAATCCAAGCCCTATAAAATTATAGGTTGTTTATTTTTTCCACTAATCTCAAGTGAAAGTATAAAAGAACCTCCTAACATAATTTCTGAAGCAGTTTAAATTGGCATCTTTTCAGGAGTTGTCATAATACTGATAAAACTCACCTTCAGTTTTAAGTCCAAATGTCAACAAAGAGCATCAATACAAACATTTTATAACCATTTAACATGAAAACCTGGGCCGAATAACCGCATTTCCATAAACTGCTCGGTTTTCCTGTCATTCAGACTGTAGCGAGTCATTGTTGCAACAATTTGTTCATTGAGTCATTTGTTTACTTTTAAACTGCACACAGCTGTTTTTGTTGTTTGTTGTTCTCTTTGGCCCTGTTCAGACCAAACACTTAACACGTTCCGGCTGTTTCAGTGTGGACAGCATGAGCGTGTGAGCGTTCTCACCTGTTTAGAGTGGTTAAATCTCAGTTACTCACTCTACATCACAAATAAAATAAGTCACCTGAGCTATAATGTTTTTTTGACCTTTACACTGTTCAGTCGCTTGAGTTGCCTACACAATTAACTTTAATTACCTAACAGGCTCGATACTATGTAAGAGATGTAAAGGAGCATAAAACAATTAGTTGCGTCAGAGCTCACTATCAGCACAAAGATGTTGAAGATTTTAACCCTTAGGTTTAATTAGGTAAATATTTGTGACTTATCGTTGATTTATTGCTCTTCTGTAACCCCGTAAGAATGACCACAAAAGGTCCAATCAGCTCTAAAAACTTTCAGAACAAGCTTCAGTCTAAACACAAACCCATCACACGACCAGCTAATGTCGACATTTCAACTGGGAAAAAGTCAAATAAACATTGCACAGAAAATTTTGCCAAGACACTTCCAGGTAATAACTTTGCTGCCTATGATGGGTTAGGTCTGTGGTCCTAGAGTGTGGGCTAGAGTTGCATTCAGGCCCAAATATCTGATCCGACCCAGCTCCAGCCCACAGCCATCATTTTCAAACCCCACCCAACCCGATTAAATAACAATAATTACGGGTCCGAACTCTGAAAATACCCCAACATTTTTAATTAGTTATTAACGGTCGGGGACTCGTGGTTGAATAAAAGGGGCAGAAGATCAGAGCTGAGGGAGTGTTTGTCCTTTCATGGCCGTCAAAGAGCATTAAAATCCTGTTTCTGCCTGCATTCTTCTGCATTACCGAGACATGGACTGCACTGACACGTCAGCTTTGGGACCTGTTTGGGTTGTCAGCTGCATGCGTCCGCTAAGTGCAGCGGCTAAATGAACGTTGGGCAATGGATTGCTTCCTGGCAGTACAGTCCGTCTGAAGCTCAACTGAACTTTTTACCTCTTTCAAGGCCGGTCAGCTCGCGGTGAAATGGCCGCATGCAGCTGGTGAAGGTATGGCAAGCCATGTTGCTATATAATTGGATCATGGCTGATCTGCTAACCTAATCAAAAGCCTGACCTGCCCATCCAGCACATTATCGTGTCCTGACCCACCCCGAATTCGGGTCGGGCCAGGTTTTGGGCCCGTGTTAGAAGTGACAGCTCTACTAGAGTCACAGTCGAGCCGCGCATTGTTTGTTTTTAGCTAGCTAATATTGTGCGCAGCTAATTAGCGCTACACCAGTACAGACACGTTGGGGGGACACAGTTCGATTTGGTAGTTCGGCACGCTCGGTTCTGTTAACGGGGCGGTGCGCCCCGCTTGTATAATGGTAGGGGAAACACTGACGTATTTACGTCATGAAATTAGCATATCATAATTTATTTTCCCGGGCAAGGTTTTTTTTCCCGGTATTATCGTGAGCAATGTGATATGACCCAGCCCTAGTGTGGATCAGGATGGTTTGCATTCAGACTCCCAAAATAAGGTGGACAAAATGGTTGTAGACCACCTCCAAAGGTAGTCTGTGTGAAATGTCTTCAAAGCATATCGAGTGTTCACATTTGTATTTGTGAAAGTCAGATACCTTCAGATTGTTTGGTATGGATGTTAGAACCATGTCTGAACAGGGTCTTTATGTCCTTTATTGCTTCAAATGGTGAAACAAGTTTATTTCCACCTTTTTAACTGTATAATTATTTCCACATTGTAGAAGAAATCACACTTTCCTCTTGTATCCAAACCACCTTTATAACATTGAAGTAAATTTTGGGAGTTTTGTGCTGCAACAGAAGCTAACATACTGCTCTCACTGTTTAACATGTTGATGTGGACTCTAGGGGGTTTAAACTTTTCGTCTTATTGACTTGGTAAGATTACACTTTTGTATCCTGCATGAAGAGAAAACCGGTTTTCTTCTGGAAAGTTTCATTTGGCACAACCCTAAACCCAATACTGTTTTGGCTCCATAGATTCATTAGCATTTTGAATATGTAGCGGGTCTGAAGAAGAGAAAGACTTAAAAGTCCAAAATTCAGGCCAAAGCAATTGTTTTTACAGTTTCATGTTAGTAGGTTGATATGACTTAAAGGTGACTTTAACCCAAAGCCGACCTTTGCCTCCATAATGATGATTTATAATTCTGATACAGCAGGATGACACGTGAAATGACCTTGGTGGTTTTTTTTTGTTTGTTTGTTTTTTGCTTTAGTCCAAATGAGAATAGGTGGATTGTCTGTTAAGCTTTTGTTCGTGTTTAAAAAGCTTCTCGTCTGTAATATGTTTCTCTCTTTAGGGAAGGTGACTGGTGGGAGGCCCGCTCCATCAACACAGGAGAGAAAGGTTACATCCCCAGTAACTATGTGGCACCGGCTGACTCCATACAGGCTGAAGAGTAAGAATTCAAACCGTTGTTCAAACCTCCTGTTTGTCACAGTTTCTGCCAAACTTTTTCTCTTATTTTTCTGATCCCTAGCTTTTTATTCTCTTGTTTTGCAACCCACAAAATTAGTTTCTCCCAAAGTGAAAAATGCAGCTGGGGCAGAGAGTGGAGGGAACCGTTGGCGCTCTTATTGTTGTTCATCTGGTTTGACAGAAACATAAAGGGTCTATGATCGTGCTCACACACACTTTAGGCCTGATTTCTCTTTGGCTCTCAGATTTTCTTTGACATTTTTACAAATGGTGGATGTTTTAGAAACTCATCCAAATATAAAATGTGAGAGGGAAAATATAGATGGGGATAAACATCCAATTAAGTTTTGCTTTACTTCTTAAATAGAGTGCGTACCTGTTACTGACAGGTTGCAGGATTGCCTGGTGAGACGTTGCAGCTCGTTGGCAACAAGACTGAACATGTGGGAGTTTCTTGAAATAGAAATTTTGCTCTTCACAACATAAGAGTAGGATTGTTTATTGCTGGGAGCTCTTTATTTATAGAAGTTTTGACTTTAAACCATAGCGGCTGTCTCCATGATCCTCCATCTGCCTGAACAGACCAAACTCTACGGAACAGTTCGATTCCGTGGGGAACTTTGAATGTCCTGTGTCTGCCGGACCCGGTTCTGGAAGGCAGTCATCGTCCGTTGCCGCGGTCATTATTATCATCATGCTGCTAACGGGATTACACCGCTAATAGCACCACGCTACTAGCAGAACCACACTGCTAACAGGACCACGTTGCTAACATAACCACGCTGCTAACAGCACCACGCTGCTAACAGCACCACGCTGCTAACAGCACCACGCTGCTAACAGGACCACGCTGCTAACAGCACCACGCTGCTAACAGCACCACACTGCTAACAGCACCACGCTGCTAACAGCACCACGCTGCTAACAGGACCACGCTGCTAACAGCACCACGCTGCTAAAAGGACCATGCTGCTAACAGCACCACGCTGCTGGCAGTACCACACTATTGGCAGTACCATGCTACTAAAAGTAACTGTGTTTTTATAACACTATTTTTATTTTAGTTGCTTATTATTGTTGTATATTGTTGTCTGTACTCTATATGCTGTTTGTCTAAAACAGGTCTCTCTTGAAAATTAGTTGTCGTGACTCAATGAGAATACCTGTATTTTTTTCTTCTTCTTTCGGCTGCTCCCTTCTTCAATGGTCGCCACAGTGAACTAAGTTGCACGAAGACTTGACAATTATTTTTACACCGGCTGCTCTTCCTGACCCAACCACAGACCACCGAGCTACCACAGCGCTCTGTGTGGAGCAGAGAGCTGCTATCCAGGACGCCCAGATGGTGGGGTTACAGGCCTTGCTCAGGGGCCCAGATTGGGGCAAATGAGGATGGAGGCAGGTGTGGGTGCTTCACCAACCCCACCCACATTTTGATGTCGTCGTTACCGGGAGTTGAACTGGTGATCTTCTGATCACAGGTCCGCCTTCTCTAACCTCTGCACCACCACTCCCTTAGAATACCTGTATAAATAAAGGTTAAACTAAAAAAAAATATGTATTGAAATTAGGAAAACACTTCAGGGTCTAGAGCAATGTTGATAATTAGCTAGTAGGTTGACTTAAGTTGGATTTTGTAATATTGGCTTGCCTTTGTCTGGTTTTGAGCACAACACACAACAAGTTACGCAAAGAAATTCTTATTGGTGAAGGTTGCATGGCGGCTAATATAACTTCCCGTCAACCATTTTGGTGTCACAACAGAAAAGCATTTCTCTTGTATTGATTAGATCTTATCAGTTCATGTGATTGTCTTTTTCTCTTTCTATAGGTGGTACTTTGGTAAAATGGGCCGCAAAGATGCAGAGCGTCTCTTACTGCTTCCAGGGAATCAACGGGGCACTTATTTGGTACGAGAGAGTGAGACAACAAAAGGTAAAGGAACGGTAATGCAACGAGAAGAATATTGGTATTTCCTCTCTCATGTGGTTGCTAATTGCAGTTAGTATTATGGTCATGCGTTTGAGGAACTGAAGGGATCTTAAAGTTGTCCCAAAGCAACTGCGTGCAAAATGTTATGGAACATTTTTCTTGTTTCTTCATGCGTCCTTTTGTTGTTGGGGCAAGATTTAGTTTGGATTAAGAGATAGTTGCTAAGACACGAGGAATGTCCGTTTCAGTTTGTTGGTACATGACTTGGATATGGGGGAAAGAGAAATGACAGAAGAACAAACATTTTTCACCCACTGCATCATTTTTAGTGCGACTTTGTAGTTTAAATCATGTTTAATTTACGTGTAATGTTAGGCATGATTTTAAAGAGCTGCTTTTACAAGGAAATACATCCGACCTGATTTCCTTTGAATTTTAAAGGTGCCTACTCTCTGTCTATACGCGACTGGGATGATGTGAAGGGAGACAACGTCAAGCACTACAAGATCCGCAAGCTGGATAGCGGTGGATATTACATAACCACACGAGCCCAGTTTGAGACCCTACAGAAACTGGTGAAACACTACACAGGTATGCAGCCCACTCACTACTAATCAGCATGCAGGTAGTGTTCGGCTGCAACTTGGACAAACCCTTCAGCTCAGGGCAAATTGTTTAAATTTCTCATGTTTTTAAGATTAATTGTTGTGTAATTTAGACAAATATGAGTCATTCAGGGTGGTGTTTTTTTCCTTATGTGGGCTGATGCATGATAAGTTTTTGTTTCCTGGTCTTGTTTTATACAAGGTTATTGAGGAAAAAAACAAGAAATGTACCCTTTAAGTTCAATGTTGCACTGTGTTAGTATTTATAACAAAATTAAAGTTAAAATGTGTCGGCAACGTGTGGAAAATGTAAATACAGTTTCAGTGCTGTGCCTATTTAGAAGATTTGATTAACAGTGTTTGATCAGGAGGGATTTAATCAGCGGATTTATTAGCAAGTGAGAGCTCTTTTATAAAAACAGTGGTTTGTAAATTGAGAACGATTATTCACAAGTGAAATATTTTGGAGCTGTTGTCAAATTATTTTAAGGGCAGACGTCTCAGCAAGCAAGGCCCGAGATCAAACCGAACAACGTTCAAAGGAACAAAAACAAAAAAAGAGAAGCTATAACTTGGGCTTTGCAAGATTCAATTGTCATGCCTGATTTGAACTTTTATTTCATCACTGTATTGTTTTTAAAAGACTGAACAAGTATGGATTATTTAGGCAGATACCAATACAAAGCCATTTGTCTTAAAGAAAAGATCATGAAAGCAGGGCTCAAATTTGCCAAGTTGCAACTGAACAAATCACAATTATCCCTTTTTTCTTTGTGTTTTTCTCAGATCATGCAGACGGACTTTGCTACAGGCTGATGACTGTGTGTCCGACAGTCAAGCCTCAAACTCAGGGACTAGCTAAAGACGCCTGGGAGATCCCACGAGAGTCCCTCCGGCTGGAAGTCAAACTGGGGCAGGGCTGCTTCGGGGAAGTCTGGATGGGTAAGAAACTGTTCGCGCTGCACTCGGATGCGCAGCTCGTGTTTCAACAAGAGCTCACATGAAAATGAATTTGTCATTACGATGGTGTGTGAACCTTTGTGTGTGTATTTTTCATGTGTTGTTTATTTTGCCCTTTTATGGACATCAAAGAAAGCAGATGACTGAACCTGTACTATCCTACTTGCTTTGCACCAACGTGAAATAACTGAATATCGCTTTGAAATATTCAAAGTTTTGCTACTTGAAAAGCCAGTGTAAAATAAGAAGAAACAATTCAAGCGTTGTGCACAGAACTGTAGCTCTTTGTCATTCTTAAATTGTGTCAAACAACAAAAGTTCTCTTGATTCTGTTTGAACGCCTACGTGCAGATGTTTTTTTTGTTATAGTTTTTGATCAATACTTCAAAAGCCTGTTGTTGCTGCTTCAGCAGGTTTTATTTGGTCAGATTTTGTTAAATCTTTTGAAAACTGTCCTTTTTTTACTTGCTCTTTTTTAAAAGATGCAATTGATTTACTTTATTATCTTTTGCTATTTAGCATTTCCTGTTAACGCACGCATAAATCCATATTATATTGTGAACAAATAAGATTGATCACTTGGTTGGTGTATACTTCTACAGCCATTAGAGCTTACATGCAGAGATAAAGCATCTTGTTTACGTGATTAAATTGTGTACATTTAATGTAAAAACAACACTGCAGCTGTTTCCATAGCCCCTTTGTACATGTGTGCTGACGCAGAGGGAAGTTAGAAACCCACTGCCACATTGGCCCACATGCAAAGAGCTGTTGCTTCTGTCCCACATGCAAAGAGCTCAGTGATCACAGGTCACTTCCTACGCTTTGTCTTCCCCCGCCTACATGCGAGAGCGGGGGGGGGGGGTGCTCTGAGCGAACATGACGCTCTTCTTTTATTGCTCAGTCTCTCATTAAGGCTGGCCTGCAGCAAGCCCTGGCCTGCAAGCCTCCGCTGTGCAACCCCAGGAATCTCTCCGTGCACGGCTTGTTCAGGATGATTTCCTGCTCTGCTGTGAATTTTTACTACGAACCCGCTCTGCTCACGTGTCTAGGGACATGTAGCTCTCAGATTTATTTTATTTTTTTGTCTCGAGTGTCTTCCTAAGTTGACACATCGTGCTCATTATTAGTTGCTGTCATCATCCTACTTTGGCCTTCAGCTTGTGTGTGCGCACGCAGTGTTTGTTTGGTGTGATTCATTCATGAAGGTCAGCCTTTTGACGGCGGCGGCAGATCTCCTGCCTCAGCTCATTGTGTGTAAGCAGGGCGTGATTAAGTGGCTTCCAACCAGGAAGTGCCTGATTATTTAAGTCTATGCGTTTATTTTTCCTCTGCTGCTGCACTTGTGAGAGCACTGACACACAACTGCAGCATGGTGGTTGATGTTTGCTTTTCTGTCACTTGAAAGGGAATAAAAAAAGCTTAAATCATCTTGAAGCATTTTTATTTAAAGTGTCTTAAATGCAATTTTAATACATTTGAGTCGGTGTTGGTTATTTGACTTTTGTTGTGTTTTTGTTCAGGCACATGGAACGGGACTACTAAAGTGGCGATCAAGACGCTGAAGCCAGGCACCATGTCACCAGAGGCTTTCCTGGAGGAGGCTCAGATCATGAAGAAGCTAAGGCACGACAAGCTGGTGCCTCTGTACGCGGTGGTGTCTGAAGAGCCCATTTACATCGTCACGGAGTTTATGGGCAAAGGTGAGCATGGTTCAAAGTCCCAAACCAGAAGTGATGTGGACATGTTTGCGAAGGCACACGCCCACACTCCACTTATAAATCTTAGGTTTATAAAGCACAGATGTTTTAGAGACTTCACAAGTTGATCTCAACTCTGTACTGCTAGCTTTTATTCAAGCAATCCTTTTTTTCTGTCTAAAATATTTCCTACGTTTTTTTTTTAATCAGTCATCACCTGCCAACTGAACTTCCAGGCTCTTAGTTACTGTTTTTACAGCTTTAATAAATACTGCACAACATTCTACAAACTCTTTCCTTTATCCAAGCAACTTAAACAAATGCATATTGATTATGCAAGCACTGGCCTCAGCTTTACATCTTCCTCAGTTCTGTTGCCTTTTAAAACATACAAGTTAAAATCGGTACACTATAATATAGAAGCTGCCGTTAAGTTAAATTATGCAATGTCAGAATAATGGATCTGGATTCCAAGGGAAGGGAAAAACTGGGTTGCAGGTGGGTTCCTATTTTATTACAGAAAAAAACATATTTGCAAGAAAATAGGTTGGGTTACTTTTAAAACATAAATTAAAAATAGCACATTACAAATGTATTGCGTCTCTACAGTCATTTTGAACAGCTCATCATGTATTGAATGAAATGTTTTTGCTGGTTTATTTTTTATTTGATTTCAGCAAGGAGTTTAAAATAAATACGGAGGCTTTATTTAGTAAGATGTTTTTGACTTGTATAAACTGACTGCTGTAGTTTTAAGTTTTACTCCTCCAGAGTTTCAGGATTCCATTTTTCCCCCACAGCGAGCACAACGCTTTCATTGGTTGGCAGATCTGAACTGTCAGGTTTGGCATTGTCTTGCTGAAATACAGAGGTCCTTCTTTGAAAACTGTATCCCTATTCTTGCAAATGTTGCTTCAAAGCCATCATTATTGATGTTTTCACAGATATGCCACACACACCATTACAGTTACTGGCGTTGCCTACATATTATTTCAGGGTGATTGTTGCTCCTAAAGGTCTCAGGCTCTTATTATTAGTTTTGCTCTTTTATGAGTCTTATAATAATGCTGTGCTTTACTTATCAGAGCTGAGTAGGTAAAGGTTGTGCCTTATTTAAACGGTATATCAGCTGGAGTAAACAACATGGACTCACACCTCAACCAAAAGACTACTAGACATCATAACCAGGATGTTGAAGCTAAACAACATTGTTGGCTGTAATATTTAATATTAGCTCATATGTCTTCTAGGATTTACATTAACTTGCTGACAGTTGATATATGTTCTCTGTTTTCTACATTTATCTTGGTGGTGATTAATAACACAATAAACCTTGAACATTCTCACATAATGTTCCTGTTTAAGGTGACACATTCTGCCACTAGCAGATGTTTCTTTTCCCCCTCCTCTTAAGCAATAATCTGCTTTTTTCTGCTCGTCATACATAAATAAATCTAAATTTATATAGCTCCAAGTCACATCCGAAGTCATCTTAGGACACTGAACAGAAACATTAATATATATAAAACAGCATAACAATGAAAATTTATCCCATGACTTGAATATGATATTGGGATTACAGGACCGGCTCTAAATTGGTTTAAATCATATTTATTTGATTCCAATTTATAAATGTAAATCTTTTTCATACACCAAAGTTAGTCATGGAGTTCCTCAAGGTTCAGTGCTTGGACCAATACACTTTACCTTATATACACGTCCATTAGGTAAAGTTATTAAACAGCATGGGATACATTTTCATAATCACTGTAAACAAGTTATTAGTCATCTTCAATAAAAGTCTTCAATTTGTATAATTAAAAAATGTACCAGCATGCACCAGTCACCCTTGTCATGATGACTTCATACGTTCATCCTGAAATGTACTCTCAAAGGTGTACTCTAAACATATGAACAGATTAAAATAGAAATATGTAATTAAAGTTTTTGTAAAATGTATTTGAGCTGTTTACCTGTAACAATATAATTTATCTATTTTGACATTTCACTTAATTTATTTATGCTTAAAAATAAAGGTTAAGTGTACTTTGCATACTAATTCATTCTGTGTACTTTGGTTTTATTATAGTCTGTATAAAAATGCACACCGTGATGATCGTCGTCATGGGATCAGATCTAATAAAGTTTAACAGTAATCCTTTAAAACAAACCGGTTTTGTGACAACTTGATAAAAACGGATCTGTGTAAAAGCATTCATGTAGGTTTGTTGTAACGGTTGTGCTGAACTACGCCGACCCCTGCTGCATGTTTTTGTGCCGTCTTCACATTCTGCACTCCACTGTATTGATTCTGCTTGACAGGAGTCTTTTTTTTTTTTTTTACCCTGACAGGTAGTTTGCTAGACTTTCTGAAAGAGGGGGATGGAAAGTATCTGAAGCTGCCGCAGCTGGTAGACATGGCCTCACAGGTAGGAAGGAAACCTAAACACCAACGAAGGTGCAGCAGCTTCTTTTGTCTCTTACCAGCTGCTGTTATCTCTGTTTAGAGGTGATACTTCTAAGGAACACGACAAATAAAGTTCGGTTTGAGGGTGTTTACTGCCACGTGTGTCAAACGTTCATGCGATGTAAAGGCTTTCTGTTAGTTCCGCATCATATTTTAATTGTTTGCTACCCTCCCGTATCTCATCTTCATCACTTAACTGCCTGTAGCACTTCTACGTGTCTCACCAGAGGCTTCTTAAGCTCGCAAGTTCAGTCGCCTGCTCTGATCTGTTCTTAATTCGGCTCTCGACGCTCCTCTCTTCACTCAGCAGGGTGGAAAAGTCTGAGAAATCACTTTGACACTGACTGAAAGCAGAGACGCCTCAGAGGAAGCTGACTGCCAGTGCGAGGGGGGCTTTAAAGCTGCATTTAGAAGTTTTGTAATTGTTCAGAGTGCTGCAGGCTCACATCGTCTCTTTTGCTTTGTGTTCTTGAGTTTGCATTAAAATCTGTGATCAATGAAATGTCATTGCTACCATTTAAAAATAATTCAGATACTATTTTCTGATTACTGACCCCCTCCTCCTCCGTTGTGCTTCTGTCTCAGATCGCAGATGGCATGGCCTTCATCGAGAGGATGAACTACATCCACAGAGACCTGAGAGCTGCCAACATCCTGGTGGCTGATAACCTGGTTTGTAAAATCGCAGACTTTGGCTTGGCTCGACTCATTGAGGACAACGAGTACACGGCACGCCAAGGTGTGTGTTCAGATCTGACTGCATGGAGATATGTATTTGAATTTGAGGGTTTGTCCAGGAAATGAATATCTTAATTTTAAAATCATAATCACCTTCAGTTTGACTGTTAATATATTGTACTGAGGCTTTGGGCTGCATATTCCAAAAAAACGACAATGAAACAAAGAAAATGAACTCTGCATTGTAGAAAACGGCTAAAAATCTTTAAAATGGGATGTAACATTTCCCTGTTCCTCATTCTGAGTTATTGTTTTACTGTTTGTTAAAATGAAGAGTTTAGAAAAGTACTTTAAAATGGAAAAATAAACTGTTTTTGTCCTGAAAGGAATTAATCATCAGTCCCTACTTTAATTAAAATGCAAGAACACATTTTGTTTGTTAAATATTAGTTCTATTTTAGGCTTTAGAGATAAGTTGACTAAATTGTTTTATTTATTTTTTGTCATAAATGACTTTCTGGTTTTTAGAACAGTTTGAATCTAATCTAAAACTGAAATTTCTAAATGAAAGTAATCTTACCAGTTTCACTCATTTCAGTGCGTCTTTACTGAACTCTTGCTTTTTTTTTTTTTTTTTTTCACTTTAAAACGTAGGAGCTAAATTCCCCATCAAGTGGACCGCCCCTGAAGCTGCATTGTACGGTCGCTTTACGATCAAATCCGACGTCTGGTCTTTTGGGATACTACTGACAGAGCTGGTGACCAAAGGCAGAGTACCTTATCCAGGTAATAAGATCTTATAAGCACACATATGAACATGTGGGTTATCGTTATTGGGATTATATTGCACCCTCCATCCATCCATTATCTTCCGCTTGTTCTGAAGTCGGGTGACGGGGACAGCAGCCTGAGCAGGGACGCCCAGACATCTCTTTCCACAGCCACCTCTTCCAGCTCTTTGTCTTCTGGGAGGACCACAAGGTGTTCCCAGGCCAAATCGAGAGACATAGTCTCTCCAGCGTGTCCTGGGTCTTCTCCGGGGTCTCCTCCCAGTCGGACATGCCTGAAGCACCTCTAGGGAAGCATCCAGGGAGCATCCTTACCAGATACCCGAACCACCTCAACTTTCTCCTCTCGATGTGGAGGAGCTGCGGTTCTACTCCGAGTCTCTCCCGGATAACCGAACCTCTCACCCTGTCTCTAAGGGAGAGTCCAGCTACCCTGTGGAGGAAACTCATTTCAGCTGCCTGTATCTGTGATCTCCTTCTTTCTGTTGCTCCCCAGAGTTGATGACCATAGGTGAGGGTAGGAAGTAATGTAGACTGACCAGTAAACAGAGCTTTGCCTTACAGCTCAGCTTCCTCTTCACCACAATAGACCGGCACAGAGTCCGCAATACTGCAGATGCTGCACCAATCCGTCTGTCAATCTCACACTTTATTCTTCCCTCACTTGTGATCAAAACACCAAGGTACTTGAACTCCTCCACTTAAGGCAGAACCTCACCCTCGACCCGAATGAGCAGTCCCTCCCTGCTGTTTCAGCATGCTGTTGAACATCTGTCATCTAAAAAGGTTTTAATATCTCAGAGGAGAACAGAAATAGATTTCACTGATGGGAGCATTCCTGGTGTCCTGTGACTTGTACACTTGGGGGGGAAAGCCCCTTCATGATCCTGAGCTACTTATTAAAATCTGCATCCTTGTGTCCCCCCCGAAGCAAAGCTGAACTGGATTAGTGCTCCTCTTGTCACAACCTCACGATGCAGCTGCTCCATCCATCTCCTCTGTGTGTGCAGGGCCATCTGGTTCTGGTGGTCTTCTTGGTTGCACTGCAGATTGCTCAGTTTAGTCAACGTTGCTCCGTTTAATTAATTTTCTGGGCTTGTTTCCATATTTGAAGGTTTTTTTTCTTCAGATACACATGCCTTGCTGTTCATTTATTTTTATTGTTCAGTGTTTTTCTGTGCGACAGCGTTTGGACAAGCATCTGCACGCGTTCACATTTTGTTGTTTATTATGGTTTTCATGTGTAAAGTTAACTTAACACTGTCAGATTTATAACAGGTTGACTTAGAGTTCATATTTTAAGATGCAAGGCGTAAATCATTTTAGCACCGCAGCATCCGACATACCAGCATGCCACTGTATCCGGGTCTCAGCAGCTGCTGTGGACCCAGCCTCTCTGTTCCAGTGTGAGATAATCTGATCCCCGCTCTCCCATAGCCAGATGAAAGGAGGGGGGTCATGGCTGTAACCATGCCACCGACTCTGTGTCATAACCTCTTTTAGCTGCAGTTATGCTCCCAGAGGAGCTGTGTCACAGGGTTCTGTCTTGGAAAGGAATCCACGAGTCAAGGATGAAGCAGCACTGATTAGTATTCTGCCTGCGACCAGTGTGGACGGTGACAAACTGGAGTGTATTAATCACTTGCTCCTGTTAGGACACTGGAGTGTTGTCTTTGACATTAATAAGACCATTGTCCTTTAAAAGCCTTGAACACCGACTGCAGGTCTCACAGGAAATAACCCCATGTCCAGCTTTATTTGTTTTTTTTTTGGTTTTTTTACTTTCTATTCCTTGACACTGGTTTTTTGACCATGAGCCAAACGAGCGTCGTCAGTTTCAGGTTGCGAGTCGAGCTAGTTCTGACTTGGAGATTTTAAGTGTCCTCTTGGAATTGATCACTACATAATGCGTTTTGATGCTTTGATGATGATACATGTGAACTTGAACATGTATTGCCATAATTTTAGTTCTAATTACCCTCTCCAGGCCCCTCTTATCTCACGTTAATACAATCACAGTTTGGCTGGGGCTTTTACTTAACCTGTAGAATTTGTTCAGTTCTTTGTTGAGAACCAGCTCAGTTAGCCTGCTGTACCCTGATCAACAGCCAGAGGAGATGCAGAGATCTTCACACGTTCCTCTGGGGAAAATATTTGTATATATTTTCTATCTGATCAAGATACTCAAAGCGCTTTCCACTACAGTCTCTTTCCTCATTTACCCATTCATGCAGCACTCTACTAGATCTCTACAAAGCTAATTGAACAAATCATTCCAAAGAGACTAATCAGTGCTTTATCACATTCATACACCGATGGGACACACATCGGAGGCAACGAGGGGTTCAGTGTCTTGCCCAGGGACACTTCGACATGTGACTGCTGGTGGATTCGAACCCCCAACTCTTGCATTGGAGGACGACTGCTCTAACCACTCAGCCACAGGCGCCCATGGCACCTGACAATGATGAGCTGATTATTATGAAATATGAAGTGAAATGTAGAAATGGAGCAAAGTTTGCAGAAGCCTGGTAGATCTGGCAAACGATCCAGCATTCCAGTTCATCACAACTTTTGACCTGAAGGAGTTGGTATTCACCTGAGACGTTGCAGATCCTTAAGTATTTGCATGAGTCCAGATGACGGTTCCTGCAGATTTCCAATATGTCTGGGATCCAGACTGTTCATAATCTCTGGCTCTTATTTTCTGTATAATTTTGTTGGGGGGTGTTTAACTGATATTTGTCTTGCAGTGGCTGGAAAAGGGTGAAACTGATTATTAAACTAAGCTTATGGAACTGTATTTACCGTACTTGCTGCCGTACAAGTAGCATCAGTCCAAATATGTCTAATAAAGTGGAAAAAACATAAATAAATCGCTTCATCGTACAAGTTGCATCTATTATGCATCACTGCTGACCATCCAGAAACGTGGGCCGGTGTTGTGCCAAAAATTGATTGGCTGCCAAATGGTGGCCACGAGAGCGTGCACGGGAGGACTAAGATTAACACGAAAACAATTATTTGTTTGCTCGACATTATAGCAAAGGTGTGTCTCAGTTGAACTTTTCCTTAACAAATGAACTTTAATGGTCGAATCAGCTGCATTTCACCTGGGCGGTGCAGCGAAATGCAGCTGATTTGACGTTTACTCCAGAAGTTCTGGAGCAAGACAAAGGTAGCTTCCAGGGCAAGCCAAGTGTCTGATTAATAGCCACTTTTACCTATTAATGAATTACTTGGCTTGCCATAATCCTCTAGGGCCCTCTAGTGGGTGCAAATGGTAATGTTTAATATTTTTCATGTCGGAATAAATGAAATCATCAGATCTCAGGGTTATAAATATGGAAAATATTAGTCGCTTCGGTGTACAAGTCACAGGACTTGCAAATTTATGCAAAAAGATACAACGTATATGCCGGCAAATATGGTACTTAGTAATTTAGCCTTACAAATGCAAACCGTTTACAGTATTCGCTCATTTGTTTTCTCTGTTTTTAAGGAATGGTGAACCGAGAAGTTCTTGAGCAGGTGGAGCGAGGTTACCGGATGCCCTGCCCCCAGGGCTGCCCCGAGTCCCTCCATGAGATGATGAAACAGTGCTGGAAGAAGGAGCCGGACGAAAGGCCGACCTTTGAATACATCCAGTCCTTCCTCGAAGACTACTTTACAGCCACAGAGCCACAATACCAGCCTGGAGACAATCTCTAGTCTAAAGGAATCTGGGACGAACTCTTGCACATGGAGGTAGAAATCAAGCCACGGGACGAGAGAGTTTTAATAAGGCCGCGACAAGAAAAAACAAAATTTTACAAAACTAGTTTTCAATGAAACTAACGTACCTGGTAGGTGTCTACGTTTGCGGATGGGCGCTTCCATCTAAAGCACCACAACACTGTGATTAGAGTGAGATTACAAATTAAGCAGATGCAGACTTTTTTATATATATATATATATAAATTTCCCCACCCTTTACACAACTTTATTTTAATTCAAACCAATTTTAATATGAATTCAGACCTTTTTGTTTAATATATATGTACATGAGTTTGGTGTGAACATGTCGGTGGATGAGGATGTGTGCTTCAGCGACCAATACCGGGTTAAAACTGCCAATATGTGCTGTGACTGGGGGGCTGTGTAAACAGAAAGGTCTGCTGTGTGGATGCAAGAATGTACTGAGAGATTTGAGTAGATGTACATACAGTTTGTATAAAAAGTATTTTTAGTGGATGGATGACCGAGAATAAGACGCGTTTTATATACAGTCATTGTTTTTAATACGTTCACTTGAAAAACATCAATTTATTTTGCTTTTTTTTTTTTAATTTTCATTTAACTGGGGACTTGAAATCTTACAGCAGCGTTTTCATAATTTACTACAGCCATTTTTTTAATTAGCTTTTTAAAATAAATGTTTAGGAATGGACATTTTAGCTGTGCAATTAAACGACGAGTTCATTTGTCAAAAAAAATTTGATGCACAACTGTGTTTTTATGAAAGTTTTAAAATAAATCTTTTAAACTTTTTGTCAGGTTTATAAGTTTTAGATTAAAAAAAAAAAAAAAAAAAAACGTACACAGAACTGTTTTCTCCCGATCAGTAAAATATCATCTAAACAAACCTGTGATGTCTGCTGTTAACTGAGCATATGTTTAATTTAAAAGCTAGAGCTTTACAAGACAGATTTTTAAATCATTTTTATTTTCTCTGACGTACAGCAGCAGTATTTAGACAGGGCTTTAGTGTTTTCTATAGAAACGGAAAATACAAACCCTCCGAGGTACTTCAGTACAGTTTTATGTCAAAGTCTGAGAAATGACGAGACCTAATGAAAGCTATAAAGATGTGAACTTTTTAATTTCTGAGCATCATGAGCATTTGTTCCTGAAAACTGGGACTTGAGCTAATGGGAGACGTAAAAGATTAAAGTAATGAAAGTTAATATGATTTTGTACATAACAAAAATAAAAGAATGAAACAAATTTCCTGTAGTTCTTGTGTTTTTGACTCATCTGGTCTGAACAATTCATGTCTTATTTGGCCAATAAATACAGTTTTGTTTCATTTACACCATTTGACAACAGGAAATGAGTACATTTACTTTTTCATACAGTTGGTAATTGACAGTTGTCTAGTTGTATTTCAGCAAAACGTTGCCTGCTAAGCAGTCTAGTGCTGCTCGTAAATAAAGTGCTGAAGATGAAGACACTGAAGTTTTACTCATCCTCAATCCTGTAGAGACAAAAAAAAAAAAAAACAGTTTAGAGGAAAACTGCACCTTAAACCAGGAATCCGATGACGGCAAATGCTGACTTGTTATTTTCAGAACAGCAGAAAACTTAAATTGTATCGTGTGATTAATGTGGAGTGTAGAGCTCACCGGAGCATCTCCTTATACTTGTCCAGAGCTTCCTGGATGACGTATTGGATGAATGCTGGGTCCTGCAGCTCCAGGTCTCCAGGAATAGTGAGGGTGAGAGGGGGAGAGTTCAGAATATTTACCTCCACCTTGGTCTCTGTAGCAGACGGGTTCTGTTCATCATGACTCTCTGGTACCACCTAGAGTGAAAACTGAAGTTTCACACCAACCAGTTAAGAACATTTTATTTCCTACAGGATATTTATGGAAATGTTCCCTGTGGTCATTTTTCCTCATAAATGAACAAATGACTCGAGTCCATCACCTCTGTAGAAAGACTTATTTAGCAATTTAATATTAAAACAATCAGCCCATTCAGAAGATGGTGCTATGACATTTTATTTTTGTAACTGATTACTTAAGTGGGTTTTTTTTTTTTTTTATCCTATTGGCAAATATTTTTCTCATAAATATGCATTGAGAGCTTTAATTCCTTCAAGAACATTGTTCTCTAAAATCTGCTTGAGCAAACTGGCTTTATTTTTTGTTTCCTATTAAACTTTTTGCTACAACTTAACTTTAGCTAATTGTTTGCTTATTTTAGTTATTGTTCTGCTATATTTAGTTTTTTAGTTATTTTATTCATTTTTATTTATAGCTATTGTTCTGCTACTTTTAGCAAGCCTTGTGCTATTAGTCATCTTTTTGCTACTTTAAAAATAGTGTAAAAAGATAACCCGAATTTCACTTTTTTGTTTGTTTTTAACGTGTTTTGCTACTTTTTGCTATTAGAAAGTTTTTTTTGCTACTTTTAGCTGGTGTTTTTGTTTGTTTGTTTGTTTTACTTTTATCTATTGTTCTGCGATAGTTTTTAGATATTTTGTTCATTTTAGGTTTTAGCTATTCTGCTACTTTTAACTAGCCTTGAGCTACTTGTAGCTTTTAGCCTCTTTTTGCTTTGAACTTCTGGCTAGCCTTTTCATACTCTAATTATTTTAGCCTTTTTTGTTTTGTTTTCAACATGTGTTCTGCTACTTTTAGCTATTAGGAAGTTTTTTGCTACTTTTGTTGAGTGATTTTTTTTTTATTTTTTTTTTTTACTTTTAGCTATTGTTCTGCTACATTTAGTTTTTTTGTTATTTTATTCATTTTAGGTATGAATTATTGTTCTGCTACTTTTAACAAGCCTTGAGCTACTTGTAGCTTTTAGCCATCTCTTTGCTACTTTTAATTTCTGGCTAGCCTTTTGCTACTTTTTATTTTTTTAACCTTTTTTTGTTTTGTTTTTAACTTACGTTCTGCTACTTTTAGCTATTAGAAAGTCTTTTGCTACTTTTAGCCTGTGTTTTTTTTTCTTTTTTCTTTTAGCTATATTGTTCTGCTTTAATTAGCTTTAACTTCTCTGTTTCAGCTGCTTCAGCAGTCATTCAGCTCTCAGCATTCACATTTTCACTGGCATTTTTATTCCCAACTTCTCTTTACTGATCCTTCGGCTGCTCCTGCTCACCGTTGTGATACGGAAGATGTTCTGAGGAGCACTGTCGTTGCTCACAGCCTGAGCCACCCAGCTGAATTCAGCCGCCATGGTGCTCAGCCATTTGACAGTTTCATCCGCGTGGCGCTGGACGATGGACAGGATCTCATCGTACTGCTCTTTGGACACTTCCAGCAGCTGAGAAATTTCGTCCAGCTCAACGTGCAGCTCCCGAACACTGGGGCACTCTGGGTAAGAAAGAGGGTGAACTACAACCTGCTTGAGAGTTGGCAAACACAAAGAGTGACCATGGTGCTTCACCTGTGAGCAGAGCCCCCTGGCAGGCCTCACACTTGTTCTGCAGCTGCCAGCACTCAGACGTCTGTCTGCGAAGATCTCTGCACAACTTCCTGTTCTGCAGGAAGCGAGGTAAACTTTCCCTTTCTGCACCAAACAGAATAAATTAACAATTAGATTAGTCAGATTATCAGTATTTGTTACTTTAAAGTCTGTTCAACATGAGCACGTGTGCCATCACCAACATGGTGGACCTGCACTACCTTTCTTTTTCTCCTTTTCCACTGCCTGGTGGAGGTCATCAAACACCTGAGTCACTACAGCTCCAAACTCCTCCACCACTCTCTTGCTAAAGTCAAAGAAAGACTCCAGCACCTCCTCCAGGCCCACTCCCCTCAGGAAGCCCGAGTCCCGGCTGGGGGAGAAGGGATCAGAGGTGCTTTCTTCTGTCAGGGATTCGGTGGCGTTCAGGAAAGCTCTCTGAAGGACTTTGTCCAGCTTGCTGCTCATCCTGGAAGCCAGGGCGATGCTGCGGTTCACCACAGAACCGGCCCTGCTCATCACTCGGTTGAAGGGATCTTCGATTCGGATCACGTCTGCCTCGGAGTCGTTAGGCTCCTGGTTTACCAGGACCTCCCCCGCTCTCATGGGGGGCTCTCGAGGTCCGAAGCGCCTGGAGACTCTTTGGAAAAAGTTTTCCACCTGTAATGCAAATGTTATGGCTGGTTTTATTGTCTATCGTTGGGGTTTGGAGACTCGAGGGCTAAAAAGTCATTTCACAGAAACGGACACACGATAAATGTGTCGGTTTATTTCCCGTCATCGTTTCTTTCAACAAAGCGGGACGATTTTATTTAAATACCTTAGCTTGGAAGGAAGCAAAGCCCCTGTGGCAGGTGGAGGTGTAGAAGGTTTTGCATGCATCCTCCAGACAGGGTCTGCATTCCTCCCACTCTGACTGCAGGGAGTCTTTGCACTGCTCCTCTGCCTCCTCCAGCTTCTCGCTCACCTCCTTCGCCAGCTGAGCTGCTCCCTGGAGGGATCAAAAGAAGCACTTCTCCTTCATTTGTCTTCATGCATTTCCTTTCTTTCTCTTTGTTGATGGTCTTACCCTCTTCTTGTCACCGCTGTGTTTCAAGGAGTCCATGAGGTGCTTATGCTTCTGCCCGTTCCTCCACATCACCTCCCTCATCTGCTTCACCCCATACAGAGCTCTCCTCAGCTCCTCGTTCACCAGTTTCTCACCATCTTCTAACAGCTCTGTGAACACACGGAGACAGACATAGCTCACAGAGTCTTCTAGAACAAATATGGTTCATGTACACTGTAAAGTTTTACTGTAGGTGGTTTTGTTCGGTCCACTCACGTGTTAGGATGTCTTCAGAGACGACTTTCATTTGGTCCTCAGGAGCAGCACTGAGGCCGCTTGTTGTTGCCACAACAAGCAGCAAACTGAACAGGAGCTTCATTCTCAGGTTCAGTGTTAAATTAGAAAAAGACCACTCTGAAAGAACATGATATAGTGACTGTTTCTCAGATTTATACAATGACAGCATCAAACTGTCCAAATCCTGTGTGCACAGATGCATTCAAACTAGTCCTAGATTCCTCAAAGTAACCACAACTGCCTATAATGCTAGAGGTTTACATGGAAAATATTTCTGGTCCAACTATAAAAATAAGCTCTTGTGAAGTGTGATAGACTTTTGGTAATGTTGTAACTTTAGCTTTTTAAAATATTTAGCCTTTTCTGCTATTTTTTTTCTCTCATAGGAAATTAATTTAGTTCATTGTACATCCTTCAGCTCTTTAGATCTGTTTACAACCTTTTACTGATTCATTCACATTTTGTTCTGCTTCAGCTTCATTCAGCTTTCTTGTGCAATAAAAAAAAGCAGCTACTTTCAGATAATTTCAGCTAATTTCAGGAGTTTTGTGCTTCTTCTAACTTTCTGCTAATTTAAGCTTGTTATGCTCTTTTCAGCTTATTCCTGCAAGTTTCAACTTTTTCTACTATTTCAGCTCCGTTTTAGAAGTTTTATGCTAATTTTAGCTTTTTTTTAGCTAATTCCACATTTCTTATACTCGATTAAACTTTGTTCTACCTAATTCGTCAAAAATGTGCTCTTTCCAGTTCCTTCTTGTAATTTCAGCTTCTTTTTGCCTTTTTAGCTACTTTTCAGTTGGGTTTTTTTTTTTGTTTGTTTTTTACTAATTTCGGCTGTTTTCAGATCATTTCTACTTTTTCTGCTCATTTCTGCTTCTTTTCTTCATTTTAGCAAACGTGTAGTTTTTGCTTTCTTATGCTAATTTAAGCTTGTTCTATCTTTTCAGCTACCTTTAGCATTTTTTAGCTAATTTCGGCTGTTTTCAGAAAAACTCAAGTTTTTCCATAGTTGCTACTTTCAGAATTCACTTCTTTATGGTAATTTTAACTTGCTCCTTAGCATAGTTATGCTAGTTTCAGCCATTTCTTCTTTCTCAGATACTATTTAGCTATTTTATGCTAATTTTAGCTTTTTCGGCCAATTCCAAATGTTTTAGCTCATTCCAGCTCTGTCTTCTTCCTTCTGGTAGATAAGCTTCTTTCTGACTTTCAGTTTTTTCAGCCACTTTTTTTTTTTTTTTTGCTCATTTCAGCCTTTTTTTAGCTACTTTCCTAATTTTTGAGGTGATTTCTGCTTATTTAAACCTAATTCAGCAAATATGTATTATTTCTGCTTTCTTCTGCTAATTTAGGCTTGTTCTTACATTTCAGCATGTTTTTAGCTAAGTGCAGCCATTTTCAGCAATTTCTTCTGCAAAAAGAATTCGAACTGCATTTTCACAGGAAATGCAATTTCTCTTTTTATTAGTAAAATTCCTGAGTAATAGACATTTTTAAATGACTGTGCGCTTAGCTGTGGTCATTTTGAAATATATTTGCTCCAAAAGTTAATCAGACGTAGACACATTCAACGATCGTCCAGTGGTTATTTTGCTAACATGCACACATGGGCAAAAACATTATCACCTTTTATCTTTGGTGGCTGGTGATAATTAAAGAACTGTTTTCTGTTTGATCTGATCCAAATAATTAAATAGATTTGAGCTTGATTCAACATAATGAATGAATACTTGTCATTAGGAGTTCTGCCACTAGGTGGTGCTACAACACTGTTTACAAAACTGCACTTATTTGTACCACTCAGCAAATCAAGTTAGTTGGATGAAAATAATAATTTCACAAAAAACTTTAAGCTTTATTTATTGAGTTATGCCCTATTTATAATAAGAGTAGATATAAATGTTTTATTTACGCTCATTATAAGTTTCCATCCTGAATCATTTGTCCTTTTCTTCATTCAGCTGATTTTTGTTTTTACTGAGTCTCACCACAAACATGCTAACAGCTGTAAATGGATAAATGTCATCATGGGTTCGTCTCTGCTGGGAGGACGTGTTTATGTCTGGGCCATCGTTGTGCCAGCAGGCCGAGCTCCAAAAACACAAACAAAGAAAACTGAGGATTCTGATTAACTTGGAACTTTATTTCAGCATCTGAACCTGCCCGTACATGCAAAGTTATATATGTTGATTTACAGTGCATGGGGATGTGCCCATATATCTTACAAGTTTAAGCTGTTTCTAAATGCTGGGCTTTTCAATCCAACTGGCAACATACATAGTTTTTTGTTGATATTAGCTATAAATTTCATGTTTAAAAAATGTTTAAGTGATACATAAAAGTATGGTTTGGTGTTATAGAATGTTTAAAACAATGTCAAACCATTAAAAAGGATTTTCAATGACTACATGCAGTAGTTAATCCATTCATTAAGAAACCTGGACTTAACCCTTCAGCTTGCTCAAATTTCAGATCAATCTCAAAACTTCCCTTTCTGACCAAAATAGTTTTTATTCGAGTAAATGAGTTTTTGAATGAGAACAGGATTTTTGGGATCTATCAGTTCGATTTTAAGCACTTTCACAGCACTGAAACAGTGTTAGTGAAGGTTTGTAATGATATTCTGGTATCAAATGATTCTGGTCAATTTGTGGTTCTTGTACACCTGGAACTTACTGCTACTTCTGACCACAGTATCCTTATATCACGGTTGGAACACTGGGTTGGGATTACACGTGCTGCATTAGAACAGTTCCTCTCATACCTGAGTGACAGGAGTTTTTGTGTCAAGGTTGGTAATAATGTATCTGCTCCAATGGCTTTTCCCTGCGGGGTCCCACAGGGCTCGATTCTTGGACCCCTTCTGTTCTTGTTCTATTTGCTCCCACTGGGGTTTATCCTAAGAAAACATGGTCTTTCATTTAATTGTTATGCTGATGATTGAAAGATTTACCTGCCTTTGAAACCAGCTAGTGCTTGCTCTCAACTTCTCTTCTCTTCTTTATACCTGGATTATTGAGCATGTACTTAGGTGCCTAAATGGCCTTGCTCCCCTTTATCTCTCTGAGCTACTGGAACCATATGCTCCCTCTCGGGCCATGAGATCATCTGATCAGCTGCTTTTTGCTGTTCCAAAAACAAAACTTAAGCTCAGAGGAGATTGGGCATTTTCAGTCATGGGCTCCAAACTCTGGAACAACCTGCCCCCCAACATTAGGCAGGCCACCTCCCCTCGTGTGTTCAAATCTCTGCTAAAAACTCATTTGTTTTCTCAGGCATTTCACACAGTGTGAGTTGACTTAGTATTTTTTTTTTTTTTTTGTTCTGTGTTCTATTTATTTAATGCTTTTAATTAATTTTTCAGTATTATCATTAGTGTGTGGTAATTTTTCCATTAAGTTTACTCTCATTGATGTTATTGTTAAACACTTTGGTAACAGCTTGTTTTAAATGTGCTTTATAAATAAAGTTGACTTGACTACAAACTTAAAAAAAGCCACTTTGAGGGAGCAGATAAGAATAATAAAAAAAATACTTTAAATATTTAAGATATTACTTTGTCTGTAGTAGAATATCAAATTCATGTTAAATTTAAGATCAAATGACAGAGGGTTATTAATATAAAGGAGGGGTAAAACGGCCCAACAGAACCAGTAAAACTCACCAGCAGACGAATGAAGAAGCCTCTTCGTTCATAGACGTAAACAAAGATCTCTGTGGGAACAGAGATCTTCAGGTTATCTTGACCTGGTTGGGTTCTATTTGTGTTCGTCCTGCAACAACTTTATCCTATTACTGTCTTTACTTAAGGTCCATGCCCATTAATCCAACGCTGGGCCCATTCACAGATCAGCTTAACTGGTCACACAAAACCTTTGAAAAGATAAAATATATAACATAAAAAAATTAAATTAGGGTTTTCAGCTAAAACGTAATGTCTAAAATGACTACTAAAATTAGCTAAAGAAGCTGAAACTGACTTATTAAAACTTAAAGAAGTAAAATACTTGATAAAAGCTACAATACGCAAAACAGTGACTAAAACCTAAAAGAAGCAAAACACAGGATAAAAGCTAAAAGAAGTTAAATGCAAGCCCAAGTCTTAAAGTAGCACAATACTAGCTAAAGTGGCAAAAGATAAGCTAAAAATTAAAAGCAGCAAAGGACTAGCTAAAAGGTAAGAGCAAAAATTAAGCCAGTAGCAGTAAAATGTTAACTAAAAGCTAAAGTTAGCAAAAGGCTATCTAAAATAAACATTTTACAAAGCTTAAGTAGCAAAAGGCTAGCTAAAAGCTAAAAGCAGCTTAAGCAGAATTTAAAAGGAACAATGCCTTTGGAGGAATGGAATAGATCCTAATGTAATACTGTGGAGAAATATATATATATAAATATTCTGAACATTAAAAGGTTCATAAATAAAAATTATTTGCAACCATTTCCTGACTGAGCTGCACATTTTGATGTATGGAAGGCTAATGTATCACAAAGTATGCAGAAGGTTTCAAATCAGAAATGTTTAAAACAGGGAAAAACAAGTGTTTAAGCTCAATCAGTTATCAGAAAATCAAACAGATGACTGTGAAGCAAGAGTTCTTTTCAAAACACATAAAACTTTATCTTCTCATCTTGCATCTTAAGGTTCTGTGCTTCTGTTTCGTTGTCTCTTCCCTTCAGAAAAATGTGCTCTCTTTGTGTTGTGTGACCCAGAAAATAGACTTTACTGGAAGATAATTAGAAGCAGACAGCTCTTCTCTTCAGCCTCTCCGACACCTCCAGCAGCTGGTTCATATCACGCTGTGGGGAGAACCGTCTCCCCAGGTTCTCCCATGGTCCACCCGAACATGAAGCAGCTGAAGTAAAACAGCTTCTTTGTTGAGGATGTGAACTTAGCACGCTGTTACAGAGGAAGAAAATGGAAATCAGGTTGAGCTTTTAAATTATAATCTGCATTTGTTTTGGTATTTCTTACCATCTTATTATTACATATTTTCATAACAGAGCACTTCGCTCTCAGGCTGCAGGCTTACTCGCGGTCCCTATGGTTTTCAAAAGCAGAATGGGAGGAAGGTCTTTCAGTTATCAGGCTCCTCTCTTGTGGAACCAACTTCCAGTTTCTGTCCATCAGGCTGACACATTGTCCAGTTTTAAAACTGGGCTTAAGACTTTCCTTTGAATATATCCTATAGTTAGGGTTGGCTTGCTATGCTGCTATAGACTTTGACTACTAGAGGACATATTGACCTCATGTCCTTAAATGAATTGTTAATATTGAATAGTTTTCATTTGATAATATTTCTATCTTAGCTTGTGATTCTTGACCTGCCATTGTGTATCTGTTCCTCCTTCCTGTTCCTCTCTAACCCAGCTGGTCGAAACAGATGGCTGCTTGTTCTGAGCCTGGTTCTGCTAAAGGTTTCTTCCTCATGAGGGAGTTTTTCCTTTCCACTGTCGCCTTCATGCTTGCTCAAGATGAGAGTTTTGCGATGGAGTTAAATTCAAATCAGTCTGCTCCTCAGATAAATACGCCGATTTCCTCCCCAAAAACGTGCATGCTAGGCTGCTTCAGGCCCAGGCCTCCCTTGCAAAAGAGATCTGTCATCTCAGTGGGATTTGCCTGGTTAAAAAAAGGTTAAGAAATAAAATTAAAAAATAAATAAATAGTGTTAAATTATGAATGTCTCTGTTAACGTATTATTTTTATATATAATTGTTTCTGTTTAGTGTCTTGAGATGACCTCTGTGTGACTTGGCGCTATATAAATAAACTGAATTGAATTCAATATATACATGTACATATACATATGTACTGTACATGTAAATACATACATGCACATAAGTGTCTGGGTACCACAGATTTACAATGCTCTATTCTATAATATCGTCTAT